ACTGCTTTTTATTTTTTATTTTCCTTGTGACCCGCTTCCTTCCTGGCTGTTTGCTTTCCATCCTCCAGAACACACCGGCGTGACAGGCCTGGCCATCTCAGCCGGGGGCCAGGCAGTCGCCGCCCACCAGGAAGGGGCCCAGCCCGGGACCCCTCATGGGGGGGGACCCCCTCATCGCCGGGCACGTGCGCCCGCCGCTCCCCCAGGCCTCCTCCTGCTGAAACTGTTCACTGCAGGGTCGGGTGAGAAGTCCCTGAGCCACCAGCACCTCCCTCCTCCCGCCCACACCCACCTCCAGGGGCTGGATTGGGAGCAGTGCCCCCAGGGAGGAACTCTAAATTCCGCATTTACAGAGGCGGCTTCCAAGCCCGCCGAAGAGCAGAACGTGGGTTGCGGGTTCGATCCCCAGGAGGCCGGGTAGAGGGCAGCCCATCCACGACTCTCTCATTGCTGATGTTTCTCTCTCTCCCGTCTTCTCTGAAATCAACAAAAATATTTTTTAAAAATTAAATAGTAATCTCACCACCTTCTTTACCAAATCTGCTTACGAGTGGCAAGTGGCCTGAAGTTTCCCGCCTCCCGTGCTCCCCACTAGACGTGCTAACAAGCAGGAATATGAGCCTGGGGCCCGAGGATCCGAGACGAATCACGGTGAAACCGCAAAGGCTGGCTTGTTAAGACTTGGCCGCCTGCACCCCAGAAGGGCGGTTCTGTCAGCGCCGCCTGCCCCGAACGCCAAGGTGAAACATCGCCAGTCGCTCACTCCTCCGCCAAGCCAGCCGGCAGAGGCGTGTCATGCTCCCCACCAGCAAGAACCCCCAAAATGTTCCCACCACCGTGTCCCTCTGCCGTTCTCCCGGGTGAACCTACGATCCCAGGGCCTGGGAGAGGTGGGCACCCAGGGGGTGCCAGCCAGTGCGGACGAAGGAAGCAGGTGGGTGACCAGGAGGGGACTCGGCGCTTCCCACTCACTCTCCCCGTTCCCAGTCCTGGCCCCCGAGGACCACACCACAGCGTCACCGAGGGAAGCTTCCGGAACATTAATGCACCTGTGTCACTCAACTACCTGACCCCATTACTGACGTCCTCACCGCACCAGCAAGCCAGAGCCCCAGCCCGTCCTCGCTGTCAGCCGGGTGGCACCCACAGTGAAATCCCAGGTGCCTCGGTGACTGCGTGTTCCCGAAAGGCCACGCCCGCCCATCACGGAGCTTAGCTCTCTGTTAATGACTATGTTGGTGTCCAGCGGCCCCCAGACGATGACTTCTTTACGGGAAGATTGTCTTAGTCATCACTGCATCCCCCACACGGAGCAAAGCGCTCGCCACACAGCAGGTGTAGGAACACTGGGTGGGTGGATGGATGGATGGATGGATGAATGGATGACAAGATGAAACAATTACATCCACTCAAAAAAAATCACAGGCAGCCTCACCGAGGATGTGTTTATTGATTTGAGAGAGAAAAGGAGGGGGGAGAGGGAGAGAGAGAAGCGGGAATCAAACTCACAACCCTTTGGTGTATGAGACGACACTCCAACCACTGAGCCACCGGGCGGGGGCAGTCCCGCTTTTCAAGATGATCACAGTAGACTTGCCCAGAGGAGGGTAAGCACAGACGGGCTGCGTAACAAGATCCTCCCGTGAGCAGCGGCGACGGCAGAGGGGACACCTGCCACGGAGGGCGGCCCTGCTGGGCTTCGCTTAACCTCCCAGGGCAACGAGGTCGGGAAAACCCTAGGAACCCGCAGGTGTGGGCTTCTCTGCTCCAGAGGTAACCGTCTGAGAGCAAATCTAAAAATAGAAATGACTCTCAGCCCGGCCGGCGTGGCTCAGTGGCTGAGCATCGACCTATGAGCCAGGAGGTCAGGGTTC